TTGCGTGATGAATTCTATGTTCGTCGCGCAATTGGATTCTTCCAAAAGTATTCTTTATAACATGACTTTAGTTTGCAGAGGCAGAAAACTGCAATTTTCTACAGATTTCGCCTCTGTACTTGTTTCCCTTCGTTTTTCTTCAATTTGGGATCCGTCATTCATATTTTCTCTCAATTTCTTCTTCTAATACTTCATCCATCTAAATCTCTCTCTTCTCTAGGTTGATCAAGCTATTTCGTTGTGTTTGGTACGGGTTTTTTTTTTTTTTTTTTTTTTTTTTTTTTTTTTTTTTTTCCATTTAAAATTATCAATGTCAATTCATACTAACACCGTAAAATTCATTGTGTATAGGGATATTGTGTGTGACTAGCGTTTGGTGGATAACGATTTGAAAGGTATTTTCTTCGTTTTATTTAAAAAAAATATGAATTAGTTAAATTATATTGCAATTATGGTGTTATATTTATATTAAGTTGTTAAATTATATTTATTAAAAAAAAATTTATGTTATAATTAAGTATAATGTTGAATTGTATATGTACAAATTTGTACATGACGTACAAATATGTGTTGTGATGTACGAAGTTAATTGTAATTAACTTCGTACTTGTTTTTTTTTTTTTTTTTTTTTTTAAATAAAACTTAATTTCCCGTTTGAGGATTAGTTGGATGTTGCGCATGGATGCAAAAGCATGACTACGGTCCAATTGATTCTTGAATTGTCCCATTATTTGGATAGTTTGGGAATGCAAAGTTATGTCGTGTCGTTTTATGGTTAAAGGATTAGGTTTCGGTCATGGGGATTTCGGTGTCATCTCTGTACGTTCTTCGGGTGGCACATAGGTATTTCATATATATGTTGTGCACTTGAAGAACTATATAGAGATACTGCCAAAATTTCTCCACATCGAAATCTAATTCGAAGTAGCCATAAATTACGTGACATAATTTTGCATTCTCGAATGGGATAGGGCCCTTACCAGAGGCATAAGGTGACAAGATCATGTAGAAGTTGTTCTGATTGTTGTATTGTTATTGTGGTTTTAGGAATGATGGACAGAACGAGGATACATAACTTGAACAGATGCGCCAACGAATATTTGAACGAAATCGAGGATTTTATTGACTTTGCGCATACACACAACACAGGTTCAACTAGAATCCAGTGTCCTTGTAGAAGGTGTAACAACATGTTAATGGAAACTATTGAAAATGTTTGATTTCATTTAGTCAGGAATGGAATGGTAGATACCTATAACATTTGGAACCAGCACGAGAAACAATTAGACAATGCTTCGTCTTCAAACATGACAAGAGTGGGCAATGTTAAACCCAATATGGATCCTAATGAACAAGTCATGGAAATCTTAAATTATGTTTTTCCATTTGTGTCGACAAATACCAATCAGGAAGTGGAAGATGAAGTGCCCACACCAATGGATAATGGAGAATTCGAAGAATATGAAAAATTATTTAAAAAATACCAACCAAGAGTTATACCCTGGCTGTGAGGGATTTTTCGTTCACATAGCTATTGTGGAACTAATGCACTGAAAAATAATGTATTATATGTCGAACCAGCGTTTTGATTATTTTTTTGGGGATTTTCAAGAGAATGCTACGAAAGGACAATTGTTTGTCGAAAGACCATGGAAATGCTCAAAAGGTGTTGAATGGTCTCGGATTGGGTTATGAAAAAATCCACGCTTGCAAAAATAATTGTTTATTCTTCTATAAGGAGAATGAAGCGTTGGATAAATGCCCTATATGTAATGAGTCAAGGTTCAAAACGACATCTCAGAATAGATCGACGAAGATCCCACAAAAAGTCATGCGTTATTTGCCTTTGAAGCCTAGGTTGCAACGGTTGTATATGTTAACGCATATTGCCACCTACATAAGATGGCATAAGGAAAAGTGGGTAGATCACGGTGTCCTGAGGCATCCTGCAAATGGAAAGGCATGGAAAAAGTTCGATCAAATGTTCCCTGATTTTGTTGCTGATCCTCGGAACATTAGATTGGGACTTGCCATTGACAGATTCAATCTATTCGGGGTTCTAAACTAATACCATAATACTTGGCCGATTTTTGTATTTCTGTATAATTTGCTGCCATGGAAATGTATGAAATAAAGAATACATGATGATGACTCTATTGATAACTGAGGATCCTGGTAGGTCAATCGATGTATACTTATGGCCGTTGGTGGATAAGCTAAAAGATTTATGGACACACAGTGTTTGCACATACGATAAGTGTTCTGGCAAGATTTTCACTTTGCGGGAGCAGTAATGTGGACTGTGAACGATTTCCCTGCATATGCAATGGTTTCTGGGTGGAGCACTAGGGGTTATATGGCATGCCCTGTATGCAAGGAAGACGTACCATCGAGTTGGCATGCCTGAAAAGTTTGTTACCTTGGTCATCGGAGATGGTTACCATGGGACCACGAGTGGCGAGAGAAGGAGAAAGAGTTCGACAGGAAAAAAAGCATTGTCTCAGACCTAGAGAATGGTTTGGTGATCATATTTTGGAACAGCTTAACTGTTTGGATTTGCTCGGTTCGGGACAAATGTCAATAAGACCAGACCTTTTACACATATGAACTAGACACACAAGTGTATGTTTTTTGAGCTCCTGTATTGGTCGAAACTAAAATTAAGACACAACCTTGATGTTATGTATGTTCAGAAAAATGTATTTGACACAATGGTCGGCACAATTCTAGATATTGGGGGCAAGACAAAGGACACAATCAAAGCTCGTCTTGATTTGGAATGAATGGGAATACGACGGGGTTTATGGATGAATAAAGACAGTGATAAAGCCATAAGGGATCTTGCGTTTTTTTCTTTCCATGAAACCGAATGACAAAAAAGAATTTTAAAGTTTTTATCGTTTATAAAGTTTCTCGATGGGTATGCTGCAAATATCACGCATTGTGTGAATGTTGACTGGGGTAAATTAGCTGGACTAAAGAGTCACGACTGCCATGTGGTTCTGCAACGCCTACTTCTTATTGGTATTCGACATCTCTTGCTAGCCGATGTAGTGAAACCAATCATGTTGTTGTCCAGTTTTTTTTGCTATTGACATCAAGATCGTTGCGAAAGATGGACGTTAATTAGTTGCGCCATGACATTGTGCAAGTTTTAGCAAGTTTGAGATGATATTTCCTCCATAAGTATGATCCACGTGATGGTTTACTTACTGGAGGAAGCATTGCTTGCTGAACCAGTCAAATTTCGATGGATGTATCCAATAAAAAGGTATATATTCCTCATCATTTTTATTAATCAATATCTTACAATTAGTTAAATTTGTATCATATTGTTTTATTTTGGCAGGCTTCTAGGAGACTTAAAGAAAAGTGTATGAAAAAAAAGCGAAGCCTGAAGGGTCAATTAAACAAGCTTGGGTGGCATATGAGACGCTTACATTTTGTGGAATTTATTTAAAGGATGTGGAGGCAACTTTCAATTATCCTCCTCGCAATAATGACGGGGGTGTGAGAAAGGAGAAACTTTCAGTTGTTGCCCAAATTGCTCGACCCTTCAGAGATCCGATACGAGGCGAGTCATTTTCCAAGAAGGACATGGAGGTAGCAAATTGGTTTGTACTAAAAAATTGTGACGAGGCACTGTCATAACTAGATGAGCATGAAGATATGATGAAGCAGGCACATCTTCACGAATTGCGTTGAATCGTTCTCAGGTTGCCATGTCAACGACATCAAGTTATTAGCGGCTGCACGAGATAACAAGTTGTGTACGCAAAACAGCAGTGTTTATGTCCTAGATGGAGGTGAAAGTACAAACATTGAATTCTATGGCAAACTAACAAGTGTTGTGCAATTGCTTAACAAAGACCGGTGCCAAGTGATCCTATTTAAGTGTTGATGGTTTGATACAAACCCAAATAGGTAAGGAAGTGTTAAAAGAGATCATGGATTACTGTCAATGAACACTACCAAAACTTGGTACGATGACAACCATTACATCTTAGCAAACATGGCAAAAAAAAAATGTATCTAGATGGCCCTAATGCCAAAAAGGGTTGGAAAGTTGTTCAAAAGATGGATCATAGGAACATGTTTGCTATACCAGAACATGACCCTACTGATGACGACATCGACAATGTTGTTGACAAACGTCTAGAATCTTTGATGGAAATTGGTGCGGAAACACTCCGAGATACTAATCTTATCCAAGAACCATTTCAGATAGAAGGAGTATCTTCAATCGAACCGATTTAATCAATCACAATTGACCTCGGTAATCTTCCGCGATACGATGGTCCAGTGCACACAAACGACGATGGTGACTTACCTATCGATGATGAGGAATGAGACATTGAAAATGATGATAGCGACGAAAGGAAAAGTTATTATAGTTCAGATTAAGATTAATGCAATTTATGTATAATTTTTGTTGTAAAACACATTAAATGGTTAGTGCATTATATATAGGGCTAGACAAAATGGTATGAATGATTGCTATTTTAATTTGTATGAAATTTGGGATGACCAAACCATCCCAAAATACTGAAAATTAGGAATAACGAAACTTTTGTTTGAGATTGGTCTTTAAATTCCAGTCCCAAAAATTTTTGGTTTGGGATTCGGGATCCCTTTTTATTTGTGAATTACTTTGTAAATAAATTTGTTTTATTAGAATTTTATACTAAATTTTAATCAAAATTCTAAAAAAAAAAAAAAAAAAAAATCATTTTTAAACATAATTGCGCGACACACAATAGTTATTGGTCACGCAAGAGTTTTGATTTTATGTGGGTAAATTGAATTTTCAGACACTTGCGTGACGAGTACATTGATTTCATTGTGCAAAGGGTATTTGCGTGATGAAATAATGGCATTCGTTGTGCAATTGTCTGAAAATTCAATTAAGGCGTTTTTTTTTTTTTTTTTTTTTTGGAGAAAAAAATAAAAATCACGACGAAGTTTTTAATCCCCTATGTGTCTTCCTCCCCTCACTTTTCTCTTATTCCTTTTTTTACCCGCGTGATACCCTCTCTCTCCTTCCTCTTTCTCTCCCGACACCATTGCAGCCCTTTTCTCACCCTTCTTCTTCCCCGACAGACGTGCTTACCCTCAGACCCTCTCACTACCACTCTCCATCGCTCACCTTGCCTCTCCATCCCTCTCTCCGTCGCTCAACTCGTCTCTTTGTTCTTCTCTCCGGCCATCACGTGTTCATCTCCAAGAGCTAATTTCCTCTTCATTTTTTTTTTCAATTTTCTTTATAGATTAAAGTAGTTGTTGTTGTTGTTGTTGTTTTATTTTTTTATTTTTTTTTCCAAATTGGTGGTTAGAATTAGGGCAGTGGGGTTAGATTTAGGGTTCGTAAATTGGGGGTTACATTTAGGCTCTTAAATTAGAGTTTTTACGGTTTTTAATTGGGGTTAGATTTAGGTCTTAAATTAGGGGAATGATTTTGGGCAGTGAGGTTAGATTAGGTTTTCTTAAATTGGGAGTTAGATTTAGGGTGCTTCATTGGGGATTATATTAGGGTTCTTAAATTAGGGTTTTTTTAATTTCAAAGTAAAGGATTAGAATTTGGGCCGTGATATTTTTTAATTTGAAGAACATAAATAGATTTGGTGTGCTTCCCTGAAGAACTATTTTGCTCATTCCCAGTAAATCTAATCTCCACAATCCATCAATAAAAGAATTGCAGGTGATAATATATGTATACAGGACAAACAATGTTCATAGATATATATTTTTTACACACTGCAGTGCAGCAGCCTACTAATACTCCTCTCTCTCTCTCTCTCTCTCTCTCTCTCGCTCTCTCTCTCTCTCAAGTCTTCAGTCCTAAATAGAGACAAAGTGTTATTTGGTGCTAATCAGTTGTTTAGTTGGATGACCATTTTCCCGAGTCACATATTTTCATTTCGCCATCAGTAGTGAAACAATATTCTTTGAATTTTGGATGTGATTGCAACGTGTATCAATGATATTATACAAGGGCTGTTACTCTTTTCAAAATATATTGCATTGTTACTATTGCTCTTTAGTTGTGTAAGTGACGTCTTCTTTCTATATGTCGGCCCTTTTTAGGTTATGTATATGTTATCTGTCCATTTTAGAGTCCATTTTATGAATGTTCTCTACAATTCGACCAAAAAAAAGAACTTATAAGGTTCTTTTTAGGTCATTTCATTTTATAGAATTTGGTTTACATATTATGTTTGAAACGTGCTGGGCTTAGAGTCCACAAGAACATCAAGACAGAGCACAGTTCAATATCAAAATTGTGTAAATGGCTTCCAAGAGCAAGTGGTCTTCATTCCTTTAGTGATTGTATGCATTATTGGACTAATTTTGTGCTTAAAGACAACTTTTGTTGTAGTAGTGTGAGTGACAATGTTAGATCACTATTACCATTTCACGATTTCACATAAACCATAAGTCAAACACCAAATAGACAATTCTTTCCTCTCCCTGTCCCTCTTACACTCACTCGTATACTCCCCTTGCAAGTTGATCTTTAGGTAAAAACACGAATACAACTAATCATAATCCTAAAAACAATCTCAGCTTCTGCTTCTAGCATTATAAGGAAATTTTTACCATATGCTATATATCTCAAATCCCTAGTACTGCTACTTCATCATGATTTTGGAGTCTGCTCAAACATGTACTGACAGGAGCTGAAAAATCTTGCAATGTTCCTCTTGTTTTAGCAGTTGCAATTTATTTTTTGGGTGGAATTATGAAATAAGTCCTACGAAAGTGTATCAAATATGTGTTAAAAATTATGTCCCCGAATCCTTATGCATATATATAATCATAGTGTTGTTTGTAAATAGTGACAAGTGAATAATTTTCCACATATAAAAGTAGGACTCCATACAATATTCCCTTAGACCCTTGGTTAAAACCCACATGAGCCCGACTCCTTGTTTTTCCATTTAAATGTAGTTACTGCCTCAGAGCAATGGATTATACTATTGGTTGGGGACTATTGCATGTCCTCTAGGTTGTGGCCTTGTCGAGAAAAACGTAAAATTGTATAGAATCCATGTTTAATTTTTGTTGTCTTTGCTAATCATTCCTTTCCTTTTGCATGCATCGTTGCCCTTGTTTAAGTATAATTATTGCTCAGAATTGACATGAACGTGCACCTTGTCGGTATAGTTTTGGCCAATTTTGTGTCTCGAGTGCTTTTTTGTTTCTATCTTTACATACCTGCCTCTTTATTGCAGTACAGTACGGTTAGAGTTTGGGTGAAAGACATTAACCCACATATTATATTATGATTCATGTATAGATGCAGTTTTAATTTTTGTTTCTGCCAAACTTGAATTAGGTTTAGAATTAGGGTTTTTAAAGTTCATTTTAAATTTAAGTACAAATTATTATGCATGTGTACGATAATTTTAATCTTTGTAATCTAACAAATATATTTCCAATTTTGTAGACGTCACAGCTCATTAGAACTTGGAAGGCGATGACTTCTACACCTCATCCGACGATTACACCTACTACTACCGCCACTACTCCGACAATGATGGACCATAGGCCGGTGAATCCGGTTGACCTAGTTGGTCCTCCAGTCCCATAGGCGCCGGCATCTTCGACTTCTTAGGTGGCACTACTTGTTGCACCTGACGTGCTCACTGGTGCCCCTGCACTAAGGAGCAGATGTCGCCATCAGGATCCACAACCAATGCCTCGGGTCCACCCCTAGGTATACTATCGTAATTTACTCCCTCATTCCCATGTTAACTTAGTTTTGTTATTTTAGGTTCAGTTTGTTAAGTTATGTCATTTAAGGATTAAAAAGTTATTATTATATATATATATATATATATATTATTTATTGTTGTCATCGTTCCGAACCCATTATTAAACAGTTGAACAGTTGTGATCATTGTGTTGGATACAAATATTGTTTACGTTATTTTTAGGGTTTTGGGAAATGTTTTAATTATAGGTAGGTTATGCAGAAATTTTGGTAGGATTTGTTAGTTTTGGGTTAACGTTAAATTTTCATTTGTTTGCAGCCAAGAAAAACACCCGGGGACCTTGTCGGCAATTGAAGACGGCGAAGGTCACCCGGGTGACCAACAATCGTATCACAATCGGATACGATGAGCAACATCGTGCAACACCAACGACGGAGCATCATAGTGCATTGGTCCACGACATTGGGCACGTCGTGCGAACCTATTGCCCTATGCGGTATAAGTCTTAGAAGGCGATGCCGGAGGAGGTGAAGAGCACGATACGCAATCATTTGTCGGTAAAAATCGTCGCCATTTTAATGTTTTTCATATAAAATTTATATATTTATATTTATTAATGTCTTTTATTACTAATACTTTTGTAATATTTGTTACATTGTAGACAAACTACAATTTCGATAACATCAACGAGGACATGTTGGCATACCTCAATCGGCTCTTCTTCGAACGCTACAAGCAATGGAAGAGTGACCTGCACTAGTATTTCGAGATGTTTGATGATCCGCAGTTTGTTCTCAAGGAGGGTTGCCCGAACGAGTTTGCGGACCGACAAGATAGTTGGGTTTGGCTCTGCGGTCATTTTCAGGAGTCGGGATATGTGGTGCGTTTTTAATTAGGACTTCTTTCATTTTAGTTTTTTTAATTTTTACTAATGTTTATTATGAATTTTTTAATTTTATTTAAATATTACAACTAATACGTTTATTTTTTGTATAACAGAAAAAGGCGAAGACGAACAAGATCAATCAGGAGAAGAAGACTCTTCTCGACCATTTGGGTTCGAGGCCTTTCTCATATAGGATGGAGGCATGGCATAAGGTATATATTACAACTTTCATTTCCATTTTTAAAATGTCGCTAATAATTTTTATTTATTTTTGTTTTTGTACTAACGTTTTCCTTATCTTTTTCTATTTTAGGAGGGTTGACTGAGTCCGGCGATGAGTTGATCGAATCCCTTCATGTAAGTAATTTCTTATGCATTAAAGATTTATACTAATTAATTCAAATTGTTTGCTATTTATATTCCATGTTTTATTTCACATGCAACTATGATGGAGAAGGGTCAGTCCGTCCTTCAGGAGTCCGCCTCCCAGCTTCCTCTGAACACGCCGATCAAGTCTGTGGATCCCCTTGAGGATGCGGGGTTTCACATCCTTACATAGATGTTGGACCAGACTTTCAGTCGAAGGCCAGGGACATATTGTCAGGGGATAGGAAATGCCAGGCAGTGGGAGAGTGGAGCCTCTTCATCCTTATAGTTGAAGGTTGATGTTACGGTTTTGACGCAGGAAGTCGCTGGCTTGAGGAGTGAGCTCGCATCGTATAAGACTCAGATGTCATTGATTGTACGAGCCCTCAGTTCCTCCAGGATCTGTCTCCCCGATTTTTCTGCACCACCACTGTCAGAGCCCCTCCACCCCGAGCATACATAGCAATCAGACCCGTCGACCTCCGACGCCATCCCCAACCCCACCCTCTTCCAACAACAAGATTACCAAGCACCTTCGAATGACTTGCTTATAGATTATGCCTCATTTTTTTCGTAGTTTTTATTGCCGCTTTCTTTTTAAACTTTGTATTTGTACGTACATATTTATTTATATTATACATAAATTGTTTTTCTATTCATTAATTTGTTTTTGATTTTTGATTTTTTTTTTTTTGGGTCAATTGTATGAAATATATATGTTAATAATATTCTTTTTGTTCTATTTATTATTATTATTTTTTATTAAAACTTACACTTGCACGACGAAGATATGTCGTCGTGCAGCGCGTCTTACATGTTTCGTCGTTCAAACATTTTCGAGATGAATTGTAGACGTCCCCATCTCGTCACAAAGCACACTTGTACCCTTTTATATCATGCGACGAAAGCCTTTGTCCATATACCTTTATTGCGACGAGCAGTAAAGCGTCACACAAATGTTTAGCTACGCGACAAATGTGCACTATTCAGCGCGCAATGTCTTTCTTCACGACCTTTGCGTGACAAATTTTGCACGACGATTTCTGCGTTGCCATAGGTTTTGCGCAACTTGGAAATGCTTTGCGAGATAAATACTCCCTCGTCGCGCAAAGTGTTTAATTTAGTAGTGAGACCAAATGCTACTACAAGCTGACCATTTCTCCACTACGCCTGTGCATGAAAACACATGTACATCTTCAAAATCGTTGGTTCTCTTCCAAAACAATAGATGTTTAACAAATTTCAAAAACTAGCATTGAACACGGATGTATACCATTTCTTAACCGGCCACGTTGTGAAGGGAGAGATTAATTCTACGTGGGTTAAGTCTATATGCGTTCTTTATCGTTTCTATCTCTATCGGCTTCAAACTACTAGTCCCTTTCTTGACTTGGACTGCGGTGCATTGTACCTAATACCATTTTAAAAGAATATCATCTTCTAGACTTCTTTCAATGCATTTGGTCTACATTTATCAGGAATATCTTCTTAATACACTGTTCGAAAAAGAGGTTTTGGGCGGTTGTTTAGGCTCTAAGCGAAGGCTGGGCACCGCGATTAGGACTTGGGCATTTAGGAAATCGGTGAAGTCTCTAGGAAGCGATTAGGCGACCATGTAGGTGGTTCTAGGCGGTTCGACTTTTTATTGTATTCAATTAATTTTAGGTTAAAGGGTTTGAAGATGTAAAATAACTTTAGAGTTGTGTTTCTGCGAAATAACTCTGAATACATGTTCATTATTGGAAAGGAATCCTCTTCAGATCCATTCCTTCCAATCCACAAAGTCCAAGGATCCGGACCATTAAAATTTGATCCAATAGCTAAAGTTATTATAACTTTTAAAGTGAGTCCTTATTTATAGCCATTGCATCAAATTTTAATGACTCGGATCTCCGGACTTGGTGGATTAAGTGGAAGGGATCTAGAGAGGATCTCTTTCCTTCATTATTGGCTCAATTGTTTATATTTGTAGAGTGCCCATAACAATTTCCTACGTATATATTTGAAGTATAAACTTTATTAGTAGTCACCTATTTATATATTTTTGTTGTTATATAATAAATTTAATTAAAGTAAAAACCCACCTCCAACCTTGCCTAGACTACTGCCCACCACCCAACAAACACCCAATCTTTTTAGAACCTTATTTATATACCAAACAAACTTAAGAGGCAAAATCCTATACATGTCTAATAAAGTAGGCTCCAATGAAAAGACCAAACCCATGCAATGAAAGCCTTGCCAAATTCTCAAGTTTTTTTTTTTTTTTTTTTTTTTTTTAACACGAACAATGGTACTTTTAGTTTCCAAAAAAAAAAAAAAAAAAACAAGTTACTTTTTACATCGGTGAGAGTTTGAACAGAAACACAATACATTGAAGAGAAATGTGGGATCATGATTTCTGGAGTCAGAGTAAGATGGATTGAAATATGCTTACGTTAGAAGTCCGGTTATGGATTCAACAACCTTCATAACAGTTGTTTAGATTTTTAGAGTGCCAATAATAATTTTCTATATATATATATTTGAAGTATAAATTGTATAAGTATTCACCTATTTCTATTTCTGTCTACGTATATATTTTATTACAAAGAAGGATTCCCTCATATCAAAATACATATTGAATAGGAGGATTAGAGCAACTCCACCTGTATTCAAATGCCTAGGCAAACAAACATTTTTCTCTAAAACCTAACTCCACAAGTGGACAAGTAGGTTGTGAAACCCACAAAGCCCAGGTATTTGTCGAGGCAGATTTGGCCCAGGTAGCTACCCAAGAAGCACACGACTCAAGGCTGATGTCATTCACATTTTAATTTTTTAATTTTAGATTTTTATCATAAATAGTTCATAAAATTGACCTTCATCATCAAGATAGTCTCGGAAATTGAAAATCAATCAATTTAGTTCCTAAAAATAGGTATCGCAAATCAATGTGGTCATTCCGTCACAATTCTGTTAAAAATTCCGTTAAGTGTTGATGTGACACATAAATGAGTCCCATAAATACTTTTTTTCTCCCAAATGGTCATTGAAATTGACTCAAGACATCAAAATGGTCATTGAAATTGACCTGCAACATCAAAATGGTCTCTGAAATTGAAAATCGATCAATGTAGTCCCACAAGTAAGTGTCCTAAATCAATGTAGTCCTTCTGACACAATTCTGCAAAAAATTCTGTTATGTGCTGATGTGACACATAAATGGATCACACAAGTCTAATTAAATTAAAAAAAAAAATTGCAAATAGGTTTAATAATTTAATAGTTAATAAAAAGTTGTGAACCCAAAAACCTAGTCCTGCAATCACCTTTGATCCTAGTCCACATTCCTCTACCTCTTTCGCTGTCTATCCTCTAAAAAAAAAAAAAAAAAAAAAAAAATCTCAATACACTCATCTTCACACACTTCTATACCTTTCACCGAATTGAACATGGATCAAGATCGCTTTTGGTGATAGCTTGGCTAACTGGCAATGACTTTTGGGATATCACTATTAACATTTAGGCAATCAACATCCTCACAACCTTAATCTTGGAGAGTTTGTTTGGGACTTCCTTGGTGGTCTGGTGACTCAAAGAATGGCGAGGTTTGCCTTGAGATAATGAGGTGCATCTGTTGTTGGTTGAAAATTATTTTCAAACCCCATCTTAGGCTTTGGTTAAGCCTTGTGCCTTTGAGAATTTATGGAAGGGATCTCTCTTCGGAGTAGGTCCTACTATAAGGGGAAAAAAAAAAATTCTATTGTGCAAAAAGGTATTTAGACAACATTTTTAATTAATTATTAAACCCACATCAACATATAACAAAATTTTTTACAGAATTGTGATGGAAAAATTATATTGATTTGTGACACCTATTTTCAAGGACTACATTCATTGATTTTCAATTTTAGGGACCATCTTGATGATTAGGGTCAATTTTAGGGACCATCTTGATGGTGTGAGTCAATTTCAAGGACTATTTGTGATAAAAACCTGTAAATCTTGTGGGGCCCATTATGTGCCACATCAACACTTAACAGAATTGTGACGGAATGACCACATTGATTTGCGATACCGATTTTCAGCGACTACGTTGATTGATTTTTAAGTTTAGGAACCATCTTGATGATGAAAGTAAATTTTAGAAACCATTTGTGATAAAACACCCCTCCCCCCCTCTCCTCTTTTTTTGTCTTGCACACGCAAGGTGGATGGTGATATGATAAGATCTCCTTTTGTTGGGCCCTCTTGTGATCCAAGAAATTTTTTTTTTTTTTTGGGTCGAAAGTGATCCAAGAATTCAGTCCATTAACTTTTTCTTAACTAACGTATTATGGGCTGTTGGATTTCAAATTTAAATGGATCCAACAATGATAATTAAGAAAAGCAAAATTGATCGTTAATTGTTCGAATTGATTTTATGACATTTTTTATAGGTATCAACAGAATATTTAATAATCGGATGAATATTTTGTCCACCAACTTATCGATTATTTTTTTATTCCAAACTTATCAATTATTTTCGATCGATCCTTTTTAAGGGTATTTTCATATACAATCCAAGAAAAAAAAAAAAGAATTATTATTAGTATTCCAAATTTCTCATTCTACACTTCAAATTTTCTATATTTAGAAAGGAAAATACACTTGTGAGGAGTGTAGAATAAGATTTTTTAAGTGCCAATGACACTTCCAAAAAAAAAAATCATACTTGAAATTGCAGCGAAATGAGACATCTTTGTATGTAGCAGCATATTATTATAGATGGGATACAATAGGTTTTTGTCACCGCAACCTGACCAACTTAAAAGCAGGAAAAATCCATTCAATTATCTTCACCCAAAAAAAAAAAAAAAAAAAAAATCCATTCAATTAAGCAAGAAAAATCCATTCAATTATCTTCACCCAAAAAAACAATCCATTCAATTATAGATGGGATACAGTGGGCCGTCTATTTCTTCTTCTTGGCGAGGGTTGGCTTCTGAACAGTAACCTTGGACGTCCGGGCACTCTCACTGTTCGGTGCAGGAGGGTTGCCTCCGCAGTAAAGCAGGAACGCGACACTGCGAACGGCGTCTGAGTCAACACTCTTTACTAGGACAATACTATTGTCGGCTTTTCGGATCTGAACACACCCATTATTGATGAAGAGTAATTGATTGGCCGGTACCATCTGGATCTGCTCAGACAGATTAGACCAACTGTTTTCGAGGCTGAGCATTGCAGGGTCCGGCACAGCTGAAGTTCCGTCACGAATGCGGTCGCGGACTTGCCCCTGAATGTACCGGAACCTTGCGGCTTCAGAGACTATTTGAATAATCACAATAAACGCGGCGGCTTGGGAAGATGCAGATTCTGCGTAGCGCAACTGGCTGATGGCGTTATCTAGTTCTCCGGGTCCCAGCGGGATCCGCTCACGCATAGGTATGTTCTCATGTATACGTGACCCTGCTGCCCGGTTACGGTTTGTATTCTGTTGCAGTGCCTCCTGGGCAGCTCGGCCAAGCCCGAGGTAGTCCCCAGCGAAGGGCAAAGTAGTCCGCGTGGTGCCGGGGAATAATCTATGGAGTGGAGGCGGATGAGTTGCAGGATCTCGAAGAAAGTAGGAACGAGTACCGGCACAATAACCCACCACGTAAGCGTTCACCACATCGATTGCGACAGTTATTGTATAACTGTCGTAGTTGGTGAGATTAACAAGAACAA